TGCCATTAGTGTGGCAACCGAGGGTTAAATGAGTGCCACAGCCCCCCCAACCCCACCAGCTGGTGAGCTTCAAGCAGTTGTATGTTTCCTTGGTAAATGTAATGGAACCTAAAGAAGTTAATGTAAGTAATCCCTCAAAGAGATTTAAAAAATCCTGTAAGTGCATTATCTCTGCAGGAAGGTTTCCTGCCCTGTGCAGACAGCCTTGCTTTCAGGCCCCCATTTATAAAATTAGGTGTACGCTAATTTAATGTGGTGGCAAGACATTAAATAAATTTTAAAAAGTAACTAGCAACTAAAGCCAAACAAATTTTGATTTAAAGTGAAGCACAGCTTTTGTAGTTCTTTTTAACAGCAAGGGTTATAGTTGACTTGCTTCTTAATGGAAGTGGTTGACTGTTTCTCACACAATGTATTAGCAGAATGGAAAACTGTTTTGGAAGTTAGACTTCAGAAGAATATGGCCAACCAGGATAAATACAGGAGAAACTGGATTACATTTTCTGTCCAGTTTGATCTTTTATATGATGATTTAATGACCTTGTCTGATCTTAAAAGTCCTGAATTTATGTCTAGAGTGAATCTCCCTGAAGCCTTTCCTCAAGGAAGCTTGGGAAGCAGAAAAAGAGTCCTATGGAGACAAAAAGAGATCAGATATCTGAGACTGAAAGAATTAAGAAGAATGAGGTTGTGCAGTGGGGGAATCTAGGATTTAAAAACTAAACACAGGTTGTCTAGGCCACTTGTCCCCATTATTTGGGAGCCAAAAGAGACTAGGTCACTGCCATTTGGAAATGTTTAGATGCTGGCGCTATGTGGGCAATTTCTTTGCTATTGTGGCTTTCTTTAAACCAGACATCAGCATGTGGAGCTGTCAGTAGATCCTCACTCAGACCCCTCCTACAGCCACAGTGAAACCTAAATACAAAGGCAAAAAGAAGAAATAAAGATGAACAAATACTGTGTTAGAAACGTTATTCTTACTTTTAGTTCTCCCTGAGTTTAATCCTGTGTCGGGCTTTCCAATATTTTTCAAGGGACGAATATCAGGCAAAATGGAATATTATAATTTGTGTCATTCTGTTTGCCTTTTTTTCATACTGGCACAACGCTGGCAATAGATTCTCAACATGTCCATGACATTCCAGAACTGAACATCACTGTGACATGAAGTACCAAGTATTTTGATGCTATTTGTATTATGATGCTAGGGTACAAGTCATTTGGGGCTAAGGATTTATTGTTTATTGGAGCTAGGTGTTACCTGAAGACCAAAGGTCATGATCTTGTATGCAATATTTATCTTTCTACTTACAGAACACACGTTTCATTACTAGTACATTTTGTATCATAATCAAAAATGTTACTATGTCTACTGACAGGCCTATAAGCATCATTCGGAAAAGCTTCATTCCTCACTTACTGTAAAATTATTTTAATTCCATCCATTCCAGATGTGGACTTTTCTGTAATGTTTTTGACTTTTGCAAATAATTTTCTACATTATAAAATTTCTATGTCATGTTAAGTATCAGCAACTGTTCCCTTTTTCTTACTTCTTATGCAGTCCTTTTTACTGTTTAATGCTTGCCTTTCGTTACCTGGCTAATGAACCACAAAGGGATTTTAACCAAACTTTATTGTCTTGTCTGCAGATGGCCTTTTATCCATCAGATAAACTCTTCTAGAAGACAGTAACTTTTGTTGAAAAGTTTCTGCTATTTTTGCCCTTTCAGTCAGTTTTTCTAGTTTTTCTCATCCTTGCTTAGTTAGCTCTTCAGCTACATATTATCAGCCGTGACTGTTTTCTGTTTGTGTATACTGAATGTAATCAGGTCATGATTATGGGACCCTAGGCAGCTGGTGGCCTCTGGTCCAACCATTAGTTAATCTTTATCACTCTTAATGAAGTAATCAGATAGAAACATACATACCTTGCTTAAATACAGTTTGTACTCAAGAATTACTTTTTTTTTTTTTTTTTTTCCAGACAGTTTTGGCCTCAAACTTCCAAGGGCAGGAGGAGAAATGGATGTGGGTGATCCTATTTACTTGCCTCACAAACTCCAACTCAGCTGGCAGGCCAGGGGGAAGTCACCATCCTCACAAACTCTCAGCAAGCGATACCTTTATGCAAGATGTCTTGGATGCCCCCCCGAAACTAAAGCCCCATGAAACCAGGAGCTACTTGTACAATTCATTCTTTTCCAGGAAATCCTGCTAAGAGTGGTTCTTTTAGAAGATGTTCACTGGTTGTGCCATAATGCACAGCCTTCCACCAGATTTGGGGCCATCTGGGAAAGAGACCCGGCAAAAAACTACATATGTGTTAGCAGAAGAGTATATGTTGGTTGGACATCACTGTGTGTTACTAAAAGTGTGCATGTGAAAAGTAGAGAAAATAAAGATGGAAGTAATGAAAGGGCTGTGGTGCAGTTAGCATTCTTCTTCCCCCCCATGATTAAGAAAACAAAGTGAGAAGGTGGAAAAAGAAAGCTGGATAAAACAGCCATGGAAATAGTGTAGTTGGAGAAAATGAAAATCTAGGTTTGGTGAAAAAGTCAGAAATGGAGGGAAAGGAGAAAGAGTCTGTAGAAAATAATTTAGGAGGAAATTGTAAAGGTATTATGATAGTTGCTCCAAAGCACACAGTGCAGAAGGAGGTGAAAGGAATTGTAGAGAAGAATCACTGTAAGGAGGCATTTCACGTGCCTGGTGTTACACTGTGTTATGTATTATCATTTCACCTTAGAAATCTAGAGTGAAAAACAAGCAAAGTACATTGCAGCAGGATGTAGGAAGACAATGTTTGAGAGCAACGTACATCTCGTGCAGAGAGGGAACACCTGGGGGCAGTTCCTCTGGGGCAGGAGGATTACAAGGTTGATCCTGGGTTGGGGAGTTATGTTTTGAAGAACAAGACCTTGAGGCTGAGAGTGCTTGGGAGGGAGGGAAGGGTTTGAATGAGCCTCAAAAGTAGGGAAGATGGTTAGGGGGGAAAGGAGCTGGAAGAAGGACAAGTTGGGTTGCCAGCATGGAATTACCATGAACTGAAGGGAAATAGGAAGGGACGTAGGTGAGCAGGGGCTGCAGGAGGTGGCAACAGGACGACAAAGGCCAAATAACACGCCCTTCCCATCCTGTTTTTCCTTCTTCTGAGAAAAACACATCTCAGCATCATCCTCTGTTTTCTGGCTTTGAAAAACTCTCCCCACCGTCTCGGGTGTGGGCTGCTATTAATTACTAACTCCTGGTAACTTCTTTAAGGTTTCTTTTGTTTTTAAGTTTAAAAAACAAAACAAAACAAAAGGCAAGGTGCAGTTGGGGCACCTTTCAGGCCAGGTCAGCCTGTTCCGACAGGGCCTGGGGGAGGGTTGGGGGGTCTAGGAGGGGGGACAGCACCCAGCACCCCACCGTGCACATCACCCCCACCCCCCCTCTCACAGCGCCCACACTCCCAAGCCACGCACACGTGCCGTGCCCGCCCACGCACGAACACCCTCAACGCCCCCCTTCACGTGCGCGCACACACCCCCACCCACGTGTGCAGACAAAGGGCGGCAGATCCCTCCGTGTCCCGTCCCGTGTGTTTCCCCCCCCCCACTTCCCCGGCAGCCCCGCCGCCCTGACGTGGGGGTCCCGCTCCGGGCGGGCCGCCCCGCAACCCCCCCCCCCCCCCCACGCCGCCCTTTCCCGAGCGTGGAATGGGATGCGCGGGGGCGGGGGACCAGAAAGTTAGGCACCGTGGGGCGGAGGGGCCGCTCCCCCACGCCTTTGTTCGGCGCCGAGGAGAGGACCCTTGGCGAGGCGCGCACGCACTCGCACCCACGCACGCCCACGCCCCGGCCCGCAGCATAAGCCTGTCCCGTGGGCCCGCCGTCGCCCCAGGGCCGGGGGGGGGGAGTGGGAAGGAGGAGGAGGAGGAGGATTGAGGCGGAAGGTGTCTCTCCAGCCTCCCCCTCTCTCCAAGGTGAGTTGAAGCTTCGCTCCGGCGCTTCTTTTGTCTCGGTGCGAGGCCGCCGCGCACCCCCCGCCCCGCCCCGCCAAACTTTCGGCGGGGAACCTCAGCGCCCCGACGGTTCGCCCGTGGGCGGGGGGGTCCGTGGGCCAGGGCCGGGCAGGGCTGCGGGGACGGCCGCGGTTTCCCGCCCGGGGCCGCGCCGTGGGTGCCGTGGCGGGAGTCCCCGCGGGGGTGGCCGGGGGGGGGGGGCAGGTGAAGGGGCCGTGGGGCCGTGGGCGGCCCCTCCTTCCCTTTTGGTTTCTTTGGGACGGATGCGGTCGGCCCCATCCTCGCGCTTTACGCAACAGGTAGGGATGCCAGGAGGTGGCCGCAGCGGCGTGGCACGGAGCCGTGGCCAGGAGCTTTTTCGGGGGGCTTTTTTGTTACGGCCCGTGGAAAAGTGCAAAGACGGGGGGGGGAGAGGAGGAGAAGCAGCAGTCTTCCCAAATTCCCCTTCAGTTGTTTATTTATGTACTTCCCGTGTCCGTGCAAAAAGGGTTCGTTTCGCAACTCCGGAGTTTTTTCCTTCTTCTTCTTTGTTGTTGGTTTTGTTTGCTTTGTTTTGTTTGTTTTTCTTTTTTTTCTTTTTATTTTTTTTTTTTATTTCTTTCAAACTTACTTTTCTTTATGTCCTGCCTCTGCCCGTCTCGTTCCGGGAGATCAAAACTGACCGAAACCAGATACCCAGAGGCTTGTCCTCACTGACAGTCGGGGGAATCCAAACAAAGAGGTGCATCTACCGGAAATAATGATTTGAGAGATGTTTCTCTCCCTTTCCACCCCCATTCCCCCGACCCCCCGCCGCCCCCCCCGCTTTTAATTTTTTTTTTTTTTTTTTTTTTTTCCCTGAGGGGTTCAGTTCGAGGGAAGTTTTGCGCCGGCAACGGGGTCGGGGCTAAAAAGGGATGGAAAAGACAGAAAGTTGCAGTGGGGAGGGGGGAGGTGGGGGGGGCGAGGGCAGTGCGGGACCCCGGCCGCGGGGGGAGCGGGGCCGCGGGGGACCTGCCGCCGCTGCCGGCTCTTTGTCTGCTCGGGCAACTTGGAACAAAAGGAGAAACTCGGATGAACTCTCTCCATCTCTCTCTCTCTCTCTCTCCTCTCCCGGGTTATCTCATCTTCGGCAACTTTATCCGGAGAGATTTACTCAACTTTCTCCGAGCTCTCTCTCTCCCGCCGCTTGAAAGCAAACAGCCCCGCGGTAGGCTCCTAAGGAAATCGGGTTTCGCAGTTTAAAGAAAGGAGAAGGTACGTTTGGACTTAGGGTGTATTGTTCTTTCTCGGCTCCGTCGCTCCCCCCTTCCCCCCCCCCCCCCCGCAAGCTGCGCTCTGGGCTGGGAGTGCGCGGGGGGGGGGGGGGGGGGGGGCTGCGGGCCAGCCCAGCCCTTTCTTTGTACTTTTCGGGAGCACATGCAGGTATTTTTTGGGGGGGTAAGGCAGTCATTCCGCCCGAGCTCCGGTAATGGAGGCTGGGGGGGGTGGGGTGGGGGTGTCTTGCCTCCTGCTTATGCCTGTTTTGTATTTTGTTTTAGCGGTGTTGTTTGTTTGTTTGTTTTGATGTTGTTTGGTTGTTTTTTTGGAGGGGGGGAAGTGGGCTCAGTGAGCTTTCTGAGTCGGGCTGTGTTTTTTAAGAGTTGGGACAGAGGGAAGCTGAAGACGGGGGCAAAATTTCTTGGGATTGTAGGAATCTTGGGGGTCTTGGCCAAGGAGTAGGGGGCTGGGCGGGGGGGGGGGGGGGTGGCTCTGCTGGGTGCCAGCTGGGCCGGGGACACCACAGAGGGTCACCCATTGCTGCTGTGGGACCATCCCAGGGGAGCAAGGTGCGCAGAAGTGTGGAGGGGCAGTTTGGGGAGGGGAGGGATCAGAGGGAGGACTTTGTTCTTCCGAACGTGTTGATCATAGCGGAGGGGGAGAGTGGGAAGGGTCGGTCCAGGCTTGGCCCTTCCTCGGCTTGGCTTCCCCTGCACAGGGCAGCCGTCTGCGTCTGATAGTTGCCTCGGGTTTTGTCCCGTTCTTTTTGGTATTCGCGCTTCCTAGAACAAGCATCGCAACTTCAGAAAACTTACTCTTGTGCTCTTTGTACTTTTCTTATTCTTGATTAATTCAGTGCCTTCTATTTTCCCCTTCCGTTTTTCTATGCTCTGTAACAACTGCCACTTTTCCTCTTTTTTCACCCCAGTCCACTACTTTCCCTTTCCTGCGTTATTTCCTTGTCCTAATTTGCCAGTTGTCCCTCTCTCTCCTTGGATCTATCCATTTCAGAATATCTGAAGTCTCTACTTTTTTGCTTTCTGTTGCCACTCATTCTCCTTCTTCCTGGTCCTTTGCCACCTAGTTTTCTACCTATATTCTTGCTTCCACTTCCCACAAAAAGCTCCTTTTGCCAGGTTCTTTATTTTCATGCATGCATCGATATGCTCAGGTTTCTCCTGATGTGAAGCAAATATAAAAGCTTCTTCCCATTTCCTCTTCTGAAACTCTTCTTCTGTGGTCTGCCCTATGTGCATGTTAGTTGTACTGACAGACCTTCTAGCAAAAATTCTTGTTCATTCACCAATATTCACCTTCTCCTTTCTTCTCATCTTTATCTTTGTGCGCATGCATCTTCCAGTCTCTAAAAGCTGCGTCTAGTTCCTCTCCCTCATCCTTGGTGTGGAAGTTTGTTCTTTTCCCTTTCCCCCACTCCAGCTTGGTAGACCTGACGCAGTTCTTCATGTCGTTATTCCTTCCTGTGCAGAGTACTCAAACTTTTCTTCCCATTCTTCCAATTCCCCTTCCCAACCTAAGCAGAACTTTGGGTTTGGCGTGGGTTTGGCTGCTTTGGCTTTCTTCGTGCTGGGCCAAGTGTCATCAGTGGTGATCTTCACCCAAGCCCAGCTGCAGCAGCCCAGCTGCTGGTGGAAATGCCGTGGGGGGACACTGAGCTGGGGCTAAGGGCGGGACACAAAAGATCACTATTAAGTTCTCTTCCACCATCCTGATCTGTTTCCTTCAAAAGGGTTGGTGAGTTTTATTGGGGCTTTTATTGCTACTAGGGGCTTTTTTATCGACTTACTCTTTTCATGAGTTTTGAAATACCTGCCAAGGCAGTTGAAGAACCTTTATATTACCTTTCTTTCCTGTCACTTCTGTGCTTTCTGCAACACAAGACTGTACGATATGTAGAGAAATTTGAAAGCCTTTTTCTTAAAGCACTGAAAATACAAGAGCGACAGCATCCAGCTTGAGTCTTCTGTTACACTCCAGCCTGGTGATGCTTTTATAGTGAAATGCTGTTAACCAGGCTTCCAGTTTAGGATGTGTCTAAATCTGTGAAGGAATATGTGTTTGAAATTTATTCAGAAGAATGTAACTTTATATTTGTATATTAGTCCCTCTGCGTGGTGTGGCAGAGTTACTGTGCTGAACTAACACTTCTTCCTCTTATTTGATCAGGTCAAAACATGGTCACTGGGGAAATGGAATGGTTGCCAAAATGTCAGACTGTGATGGGTGCCATATTGCATTATTCTTTGAGCAGTGGAATACAGCTTGGTATTCTTCAGGGGTGGCTAACGTGGTACAAACTGTAGCGTACAGCTGCTGAACATCTTAACCATTTGGATTCATATATAACTTACTGGACGCCTGGAAGAAGTGGAAGAGCTTTTTGCTGAAACTTGAGGATATTGTGGGAAATGCTGCTGAGAGCCAATTGGATTATATCGCTATCTGACATCAAGGTCCTGCAGCTGATGAAAGGTATGCTTCTCCCCTCTTGCAAAAATACTGTGTCTCGTACATCAAAATACTAAGTGCATTGCTTTTGTTTTAAACAAACGTGCTCTGTAACTTTTTTTTTTTTTGTCTTTGCCTTGTTGCTGATGCCTCCCAATAGTTTTGAGTGGTGTAATCTGACAGAAATGCCTTACTAATGGTTTGGCAATGTTTATATCTTAAATGTAGAAGGAAAAACTGAACATGAAAGTATTTTTGTTTTCAGCGTTAACTGATATTTTCAAGGTGATGACTTCATTGGGTCTAGGAGTGCTTAGCAGCTCTAGAAAATCAGACTAGTTAACTTCTAAGAAAAATGAGTTAAAAACAACTAAACCAAAGTATTTTCCACAATGATGATCTTCCAATTAGCTGACTTTGTTTAAAGACATTTCTGAATTTTGAACTGAACTCAAGAAAACAACCTTCCATTATTTAACCTCTCTTCTTCCAAAGAGCAGGAAAAATCTTAGGGAGGCTTGTATGGGGGAGAGAGCAAATAGAAATATTTAACTGCAAAATTCAAGGAGTTCTTTTGTTTCATGTGTTTTTAAAGTTTTAATTTAAGGCTTTTTTGCGGAGCACGTTTGCATTCTGAATGTCCTAGTACTGTGAAAGTCTATTGAATGCAGACAGTGCTCAGTTTTCTTGTTACTGTACGAGATAACCGATGTACAAAAATGAAATGAAAACTAGTGGAGAAAACAAGCTGTTAAAGAAGAGTTATTAATAAATAACAGATTATTCTTGAATCTAGATTAAGTGTTAATCCAATGGTGAGGAAATCATTGAGCCTCTTAGTGATCTATGAAAATTGCAAAGCAAATTTTAAAATGATTTAAAATCTGATCCTTTTAAACCTGTTTTGTACTCTTCTTATTTATAGTTGAAAATTAATTACATTAAAATAGTTGGTGTTGCTGCCTATTTCAGCTCATCTGGTTGGTTCCAGCCTATACCATATGTAGGGCAGGCAAGTATTCGTAATCTTAAGAAAAGTGCTGAGCTGGCTGGCCTACTTTAGAGCAAAATAGAAATCGGAACGAATAATCACTTGTTATCCTTTCCAGTTGTAAACAGAGATACAAGAAGCAATACAATCCTAATTTCCTGGTCCTGACTGTGTTTTAATAAAGACCTACTCTTAATTTTCTTGATTATTAAGGATAAGTTTTTTGCTACATACTGAATGCAACTATTTAGATTTCCTTTCTTAACATTGCCCTGCATTTATACTATTTTTGAACTTTGCATGACTTAAGTTATCCATATGAACATCTTTATTTTGAAGTCTCAAAAAAAATAAAGTCTTAGGCTGTTTGTAGAAAGGGGGAAAAAAAGAATAATAAATGCATTGTGCTGGGTAAAAATATTTAGAGCTACTATCTGGTGTCATCTTGGAAAAGCAGCCCAGTAATTACATTTCTGTATTTAGAGGAAACCAAAACTGTGATCCTTTTTCCTTCTCAGTGCAGATTTGCTTCTTGTTCAGTTTCTTCTCGGGTACTTGCTGCTCTTTAGGAAAACTAATTTGGATAGAAAAGTTACAGTTCATTTATCTGCATGAAAATCACTCGTTTTCATCAACACTGAAAACTCAAGTGAATTTTTTACTTACAATTAATGTAAATAGAGACAACTCCTTATCTTCGCTTAATATCAGAGTTTGTGTAGATTGAATCTCATCATTATCACAGGATTCAGGATATATTATGTAAATTATTAGATATATTTGTGTTTGTTTATACCTGGAACATTTAAAACGTTAATAACTTGGTGACAAATCTGTTAAGCTTTAAAGAGGGGCGAATAGAATTTATCTGTCTTCAGACTTCTTTGGACTAATTCCAGTAAAATGAAAAGAAGCATTCTCATATTTGGAGATAAGATCTGCAGAGAGAGGAGAAGTAGGGCTAGCTAGGAAACGTTTAGCGTGGTCATTCCCAGCTGGTAGGTGCGCTGTGTTGGTGGGAGGTGAGGCCCTTGCTGGGCTTGCACAGAGAGGGGGGAAAATGCTTTTTGCAGGCCCTGGCTGGAACGTCCCCGTACTTTTCCTCCTGGAAGCAGTCCCAGGGAAAGGGGTGGCGGCAGCAGGTGAGGCAGGGGGTGGACGGGGGCTGAGGGGAAAAGGGCAGCACCTGGGTGATGGGGAGTACCTGCCTTAACTGGGGTGGGAGGCAGCCCCGTTGCTTTCAGCGGGGGCTGGCTGTGAGGAGCGCGGGAGCTGCTGCTCGAGGGGAAGGTTTCAGGTACGTGAGCCCCAACGCTGTAGGCTCTAAAGTGTGCGGAAAGCCTTGTTCCTGTGGTTTGTCTCTGGTTGCAGTTGGGCCATTGCTTGCTTTGCTTGTGACGGTCCTGGAAGGCGATGGAATCCCTTTCTGGGCAGTATGGTCTTGGGGGGAGTGAGCTCTGAACTCCCTCTCACAACCGTACCCTGGGACGTATGGTTGTTAAGCCGGTAGCAGAATTTATGCCTAAATCCAACAGTTTGAGCAGCGGTTCCTCCTTTGAATTGTGCTCTCGGTTAAGGAGGTCTTGTAACCGCCGTACTTTGCGTGAGAAAGTGTCTTGCTCTGTGGAACTGTGGTGAGAGTAACCACTGCGCCGTCCCAGGCCAATCGAGCACAAGTGCAGAAGGGGTTTAACAGGCTGCAAGCAGTGCGTGTGCAGCGTGCTGCGGGCAGGTAGGTTGCAGTGTTGTGAGGAACGGGCAGAGGAGAAAAGATCAGGTCTTGTAACTTTTGGAATTTTAGGGAGGAGATGGAGGCAGTGGTATATGGAGGAACTGATCAATGAACATTTAGGATGGTAGAAAGGGAAATGTGATAAGGGCTTTATTTTATCGCTTTGATTTTTGCTTCCCTTTAGTTGAGATATCTTTTTTTGGGGGCATGACCTCCATAATTCTCTAGTGAGGTCGAAGTTTCTGTAGGTCTGTGTGTGCCCCACTGTTTCCCAGTACACAGAGGAGACAGGGGTGCTGTCCTGAGGGCCTGCTGCCTTTCACCCCTTGGTGGGAGGCCCTGCTCCTGGTGGGGCAGGACAAAGGAGCTTCCTTCTCTGGAGGCTTTGCCGGGGCGTCCTCCTTGGGATGAAGAGGTACAGTTTGACTCTTGAGTAAAATTTTGGGAAAAAGCTTTCGGAAATACAAGTGTTAGGCCCTGAAAGGGCTCCCAAATGGTCCGAAGAATGTTGTGCAATTATGAGGTGGATGGCATGGCAAGCGGTGACTTTGTGCTCCTCACTGGGAAGGTGAGGTAGAAGCTGTAGGACAGGGCATATTACTAGAATGGAGCTGGCTTTGTAGCCTTGGTTCTGTAGAAAATGGTATAGATAACTGTATGTGGGTTTTTGTGTGTGTTTTTGTTTTTTTTTTTTTTTATTTTTCCTCTTTATTTTTCTCAATGCTGGTTGAACCTCATGTGCTTAATCATATAGCTTCAAATAGTAGAAATCATAATTGAAAACATAATGTTTTCTTTTTTTACTTACTTGCTTTCACTTGCTTGTCAACTTACCAGGTAACTTGAGGTACAATACTCTCACAGAATAAATATAAGTGTTGGAGCATGGTTTGTTTCTTTTTAGCTTGTGTGAGCAAATTTTGTGAGAGAGGGAGAAGGAAGCTGACCAAGGCTGGAAGGAGAGAATTGTCATTTGAAATCTGGAGGTGATGATGGGGGTTTATACCCACCCCCCCTCCATTCTATTACTGTTATGATTGAGAAATACTTGCATGAAAACTTACAATGAAAAGGAAGCTTCCAACATGAGCTGCTTTCTGTAAAATCCTATCAGTTATGACAGGATAGAGGCATATGGTGTCTGGAATAGTTTTCTTTATCTTGATGGGATTTATTTTATGTAGCAAGAAGCTTTCCAATTCACTAATGGATTCTATTTTGATTCTTGTTTTTACTTGCATTGTTATAACATGAAATTTGTCACAAACTATTTGTGAAGCCTGACATAGGGTGCTATTGTGCTTGATATCTTGACCTTTCCTTGATTAAAATGCATAGATGGATTTGGGTTTGGTAGGGGAAATGGATGAACTAGGGGTATTAAGAATATTTTAATACAAAATTAATTGTGGTCTTCGTGTGAGGACAGGAACAGTACTTCCCCTGAAAGGTTATAAGACTACTGCAAGTGTGGATTCTGTATTGATATCTGTGAATATTGTAGATTAGTGAAAACATGCCGCATTTAATTCTGTACAGATGAAAGGAGAGAAGAATACTCATGCCTAATCTAAATGTGCATGCTCCTGCTAAAAATAGCAAAATGATTACATTTTTTTAATACTTTAAAAAGAAGCCACACTTCTATTTAGGAACAATGTTGCTACTTTATGAAATATACTGCCTTTTGACACATCTTAAATGTGCAAGTATCATTTTTTCTGACACTTCGTGTGGGTATATTTTTTTTTTTTTAACTGTTCCTAAAACATTTTGTACATGAAATGAGTTGCCTTAAATCCTGCATGGGGAGATGAGGGTGGTGTTGCTCTGGATGTTGGCATTACTTCTACTTCAGAGATAAGGAAGGGCTGTGAAGTCTTATAATGAATGTTTGCATGGGATTCCGCACAGGCATGGGAGGCGGGTGGGAGTGGAGGGGGAAGGCATATGGTTGTCATAAAACTTAATAAATGGGCAATGGGGGCGGGTATTCTGGGCCAATAAGGATGGAGTCTGACTTAGTTGAGAGCCAGTGGTGATTGTCGAGGAAAGGAATTGGTGAGGCATCTTGAAATGAGAGCTAGTTGCTAGAGATCAATGCCGTAGAGAAAGGAGAGATGGATTTTGTGGGAATGGATGAGAAGCTGTTTGTCATAATTTATGTGTCTGGAGGCCTGTGCCATCAGAACGTTTCTAATGGGAAAGTGTAGTGAAATCTTTAAATGGCGGTAGCAGAGGTTGTAAATATCTCAGTCAGTAGAATTGGTTTCCTTTTGGTGTATGATAAAATTGTTTCTG